CTACACATCCTACAGAGAAAAAGAATGTCTGTAACTGTCAGAATTAACTCTAGTCTCTCAGATACATCACCAAAGTACTTTTTACCCTCCCTGTATCTCCAGCCACCTGTATGAATGTTTCCCAGGTTGATGTTCTCCATAGGCATAGTTTAAAGGCTATAGGCAGATATGAAACTGTATTTTAGGGTCTGAAAAAGACATTCTACCTTTTTGAACCTTTAACAATGTCTGTAACTGTCAGAATTAACTCTAGTCTCTCAGATACATCACCAAAGTACTTTTTACCCTCCCTGTATCTCCAGCCACCTGTATGAATGTTTCCCAGGTTGATGTTCTCCATAGGCATAGTTTAAAGGCTATAGGCAGATATGAAACTGTATTTTAGGGTCTGAAAAAGACATTCTACCTTTTTGAACCTTTAACCTTTGCAAAACCCTTGCAAATGAAAACCTCTGCATGAACCACAAAGAGTAATAACCAGACTAATTAGCCTTATCAAGAGGAGTCGATATTCTATTCCCTGCTCAGCCTCTGCTTTTGGGCAGCAAGTGTGTCTGCCCCTTTCAACACACTAATACAGAAAAAAAGAAATTGGGACATAAAACATGTGAGTGGGATTCATAGCCCTGCATGTCAGCTAGGTCTAAGTGACCTGGGATGTTCTGCTTTCCTTGCTCCTTACAAGCTCGATGGGCAAGTCGCTGAGGTTGCTTGTGTTGTCTTCCCTTCCCCTCCCTTGCCTCCCTCACTCCCTCATTTAGATAATTGTTTTTAGAAAGAGTATTTTATTTGTGTTGCACCTTACAACCTCCAACATCACTTGATTAGAACAGATAAACACTGCTCTCTTTTCATTACTACGAGACAAACACTAGGAAAGAAGTATTTCAGTCTCATTTCATATGTGTTTTTATAAAGTTTTTATGTCCTTATCTCTATATGCATGAGCTCAGAAGATTTTAAAAGAAATTTACAATGTTAATGATATCTTAGACAAAAATGGATGTTTTGCTTCAAAATTCCAACCCAAACACTCAATCCTTTACAAATCAGCCTTCATTTTAAAACAAAAATACAAATGTAAAAACATTAACCACCTAATAATGTTAAGCAAATACCTCTATTTCTGGTGGGTACCTGACCTCCCATGTCAAATGCAGACTAGGGATTGCTCTGAAACTACTGCAGCACCAACTAGAAGCCTTTTTTTTGGGTAGAAGATCCAAGTTACTGCTGCCTAATGGACATGTATTTTGGCACATTATTTTCTTATTCCACAATTGCTCCAGCTGGACCCCTGGAAAAGAAGATCCTGTAGCTTTCTATGGGGTGGGGAGTACCACAGACAGGCCAATGCCTGCAGACTGTGAAAGCAGAAGATTTGCTATGACAGGAAGTAAGGCTTTTGTCATCTGAGACTTTGAATTTAGAGATATTTTTGAAAAAGAATACTTGTCACCTCTTCTTTTACCCTAATGCTTTTAGTTATTTAATTATTTTAAATATTTTCACTCATTCTTGCAAGTAGACCATCTAAAATTTTCACGCTTCTTCGATGTTTAAATTACAAGCACAGAGGGAAATTCAGTCACTTCCTGTGGTGGTTTAACCCCAGCCAGCCACCAA